TGATCGTCTTGGCGTGATAGTCCAATATAGTATGATAAAGTGACAGCTAATCCATGCCCAAAATAACATCAAAGTCCACCATATAAAGAAGTAGTAGATCTACACTAGTCTAAAAACTCCCAATAAAAATCACACACGAGCGATAAACACGATCTACAACAATAGAATCTCCCACAGGCGTGGACACATATATAGGAGCACTCAAAGAATCACGAGGCATAACCAGGTATGAAGCAAAATAGGATGACACGTAGGAATAAGTAGAGCCCGGATCAAATAGAACTGAAGCATCTCTATGAAAAACTAGAACAATACCTGTGATGATGGCGTCAGATGACTCGGCCTCAGGTCTAGCTGGGAATGCATAAAAACTGAGTTGGGCCCCACCACTCTGACCTCCGCCTCTCGACGACCTCTAGCTGGCTGGCCTCTACCTCTAATGGCCTGACATCCACCTCGGGCAGCCTGACCCCCACCTCTAGCTGGCTGAGCGAGAGGTGAAGCAACTGGTGCCAGAACCATGGGATAAGAACTCGGATGTGGAATCTAGAAAGGTGCCTCGGATTGTCACAAGTATAACAAGCCCTCGGCTACTATGACTGCAGACCCTGGAACAGGACTTGTCGACCTGGGTAACCACCATGATAACTCTAGATTGGAGGTGCACTAATAGGAGCTGATGGTGCACTGTAGGCTACTGCTCAGGATGAGATACATAAGGACCACGACTACCCAAAGCACCGTGGGATGCCTAAAGCGCTGACTGAACGGCCTGGGAGGATGGCTGCCACCAAAAGTATCCATGCCTCTAGATGAGGCACCACTGAAACCTCTGAAATGATGAGGCATCTTATCATATACCCCCCCCCCCCTCTCCTGACCACGAACTATCTCGATCTGTCTAGCAATCTCTATGACCATCTGAAAAAAATATCATCTCCGGTCTCCTTGTCCATTTGTAGCCTAATACTAAAAGTAAGTCCATCAGTGAATCTCCTCATTCTCTCCCTCTCAGTGGGGAGTAAGATAACTGCATGGTAATCTAGGTACACAAATCGGCTCTTGTACTGGGTAACAATCATGCTACCCTACTGAAGGCGCTCAAACTGCATGTGGTACTCTTCTCTCGGAGTAAAAGGAACAAACTTTTCCAGAAATAGCTACGAAATTTGATCCCGGGTAAGTGGAGGTGAACCAGCTGTTCTGGTCAGCACATAATCCCGCCACCACCTCTTGGCAGAACCGGTTATCTGGATTACTGCAAATTCGACCCTATTGGTCTCAACAATACCCATATTGTGCAACACCTCGTGGAAAAGGTCCAAGTAATCATGTAGGTCCTCAGAAGGTGCACCACTGAAGTGAATAGGGAAGATCTTTGTGAACTTGTCCAATCTTATCAATCTCTCAGTAGACATCGCTGGCCTCTCCCGGTCTGTGTAGCAATAACTGGTTGAACTACCCCGACTGGCTGGACTTCTGGAGTTTGATACATAGGAGCCATTTGCTCCGGAGTGTGAGTGGCGGGAGTCTGTGCTCCTCCCCCTGCCTGAGAGACGGATGGTGCTACTGGAAATGCATCGGTCTGGGCCATACTATTAATCGGTCCCATTAAACGGATTAGAGCGTCTTGAAGCATGGGAGTGGCTATGAATCCCTTCGGGACCTGAGCGGGTCCAATTGGTGCAGTCTTAGAGGGGATATCCTCCTCCTGATCAATTTGAGGCTCCACTGTGGGTGTTGTTGCTCGAACTCTAGGTTGGGCTCTGCCTCTGCCTTGGCCTTTGACTCGACCTCGACCTCTACCGCTGGTAGTAGCTACAATAGAGGGATCCGGCTCCTGCCCACCTATAGATGTTGTGTGTGTTTTCACCGTCTTCGAGAAAAAAAGAATGGAATGATTCAAACATCAACGATAGAATAAAATCGCACGATAGGGAAAGAAATAAGTAAAATTTTCCTAAAACTCCAAAGCCTCTAGAAGATAAGTACATATATCTCAGTACTGATCTCGAGACTCTATTAAGCTTTCTCATGACTAGTGAGACCTAAGCAATCTAATACTCTGATACCAACTTGTCACGACCCAGAATCCCAACATCGGGGTCGTGATGGTGCCTAACATCCACTTACTAGGCAAGCCGACGTGAAATAATAAATTTACCAATTTTAACTGTTAAAAACAAAATAAAGATATTCAACGAGAAATAAATGCCAAAACTAATACAATGCTAATATAAACCACGTGATAATATCTACTCCCAGAAATCCGGAGTCACGAGTACACGAGTAACTAGAAGTCTACAAACATAGTCTGAAATAAATACAATTGTTAGAAAGAGATAAACAGTAAAAGTGGGAAATGGAAGGGGACTTCAAGGTCTGCGAACGCTAGCAGATCTACCTCGAGTCTCCATGTGAAAGTGATCTGAACCGACACACCTCAAGCATCACTGGGACCAATACCACTATCTATACAAGAAGTACAGAAGTATAGTATGAGTACAACTGACCCAATCTACTCCGTAAGTATCGAGCCTAACCTCGACGAGATAGTGACGAGGCTATGATAAGATACCTACATAATTAAACATGTACAAGTGTATATAAAGAAGCAAAATAACAAGAAGAATGATAAAATACTAACTGAGAGGGGACATGCGTAAAGGGGAAGATATAATAAATACGGCAAGTAAGAAGACATAAAATAACCAAGTAAATTACCAAAATCGAAAATCAATTAAATCAATGATATGAAAATGGCACGGCATCACCCTTTGTGCTTTTACTCTCGTCCTTACCATGCAATAGTATGAATGAAATGGCATAGCATCACCCTTCATGCTTTTACTCTCGTCCTCACCATGTGATAATATAAATACGAATAATAAACAATGCGGGGAATAATTTAACTTCAAATGTGGTGTCATGATATCAAACTTCAACTCCCGAACTAGTCAACATCTATAAAATAAGCAATAAATGTGAAACGAAAAATTAAAGAAGTGATAATCTAACCTAATCATGGATGACATAATTAACGAAATAATATAATATAAAAAAATAATTTTCACCCGCATGCTTTAACCCGATGACAACGCGTAGGTACTCGTCATCTCAGCTATGCGTTGTCCTCACACATAAAACATGTATAAAATAGACCAACAAGTCATAATCCCTCAAGTCAAGGTTAACCATAACACTTACCTCACTTCGCAACCAAATCAATGATCAACCGCGGCTTTTCCTCTAGAATTAACCTTCAAACCAATCAAATCTAACCAAATATAGTTCAAATAATTCAAAATAAGCTTTAGAAACTACTCACGAATAAAAAAGATTCAATCTTTAGTGTTTTTGAAAAAAGTCAACCCCGAGCTCGCTTGGTCAAAACCCAAGACTCGAACTAAAATCCAATTACCAATTCATCCTCGAGCCCGATTTTGTAATTAGTTTTGAAATCTGGCCTCAATTTGAGATCTAAATCTCAATTTCTCAAAATCTCGAATTTCTACCTAAATCCCTAATTTTTACCCTGAAAAAGAATAGACTAAATGTTAAAATAAATGGGTGTTTATGAAAATGTAAGAAAATAAGCTAAACTCTACTAACCTATGAAATTGGGATGAAAAAACTCTTCAAAATCGCCTCTAGGCCGAGTTCAAACTTGAAAATGGTGGAAAATGGGATAAATCCCGACTTTTGGATTGTTTTAAATCACTAGCGTCAGGTCTTCTTCGCGTTCGCGAAGGACCTGACGCAATTGCGAAGCACTGCGGCCCAACTGACCTTCGTGTTCGCGAGATGCTCTTCATGTTCATGATGGCCTCTCCCCCTGGCCTTCGTGTTCGCGGTCCTAGGATCGCGTTTGCGTAGAACATCACAGAGCTCCCTTCCTAGGCTCCATAACTCTACGCGTTCGCGAAGGGTAACCCCCCTCCCCCCCCCCCCCCCACTACTTCGCGTTCGTGACTAGCTCCTCGCATTCGCGATGAAGGAATTCCTCCCCAACCCAGATTCCCCTTCGTAATCGTGAGAGAAGCTTTGCGATCGCGAAGCACATTGCACCAAACACCAGAAAATCAGCTAAAGCCTACAACTCTAAGTCCAAAAATGACCTGTAGCTTATGCGAAACTCATCTGAGCCCCTCGGGCTCCAAACCAAACATGCACACAAGTGTAGTAACATCATACAAACTCGCTCGCACGATCAAAATACTAAAATAACACCTAGAACTACGAATCGTACATCAAAATGCATGAAATTTTCAAAGAAATTCAAGAACTTTCAAATTCACAATCGAGTGTCTGAATCCTATCAAATCAACTTTGTTTTGCTCCAAATTTTGCAGACAAGTTTTAAATAGTAAAATGAGCCTATACCAAGTTTCAAAACCGAAATCCAAACCTGGTAGCCATAAAGTCAACCTACGGTCAAACTTCGGAAATCTTTAAACCTTCAAGTTACTAGTTTTCAACAAATCACGCCAAATCAAATTAGGGGCTTATGAATCTAATTTCGGGCATACGACCAAGTTCAAAATCATGATACAGACTCGTTAAAATCGTCAAAATACAGATCCGGGGTCGTTTACATAAAATATTGACCGTAGTCAACTCAAATCATTTTTAAGGCTAAAATTCATGTTTTCTTCAATTTTTCACATAAAAACATTCCAAAAAAGGACACGGACTGCGCACGCAAATTAAAAAATACTAAACATAGCTAATTGAGGTCTCGAATTACTGAAATAAGTGCTAGAACTCAAAATGACTTATCGGATCATCACAATATCTCACTACTATAATTGCCGAGTAATAATAGGAATTGCGCAATTTAAACGTGTCTTTTTTATATTAGCATACTTCTAGTAGCATTTTGAATAGGATTTAAGTGGTATGCAACAGTATATAAAATTTAAAGCATATTCGAGTTAAATCTCTTTTTAGTATATTTATTTGCTACTTAATTTTTCCCTATGTTTTGGGCTTTTGGATAGGTGGCATTGGCAACAACACTAGGGCCTTATAAGGAGATTATAAGAGAGGCTCAGTTGGGGATTGACCTTCCAAATGTGAAAACGGTTGATGCTAATGGGCTCAAAACAGGCCCAGATTATGTGCATCTCAGTAGTCCATCAGAGGTCCAACTTGGCCAGATGTTGGCTAATGCTTTTCTTCAGTTTGGTTCAGACACAGCCCCTATTTCTTTGGAGGAATAATTCACCTTCAGAAGAGGAATAGAAATGTAATTCTTTATTTTTTTCAGTTGATTAGATTCTGAAAATAATTTTGTCTAGCTGATCTACAGTTGGTATTTATGTTGGGAAATTGTATTCAAGTTTGTGATAATGATGATTAAAATTGAGGTCGTTACTATTTCTGCAAGAAGTCATTTATATATATAT